TTACTCTTTCTACACGTGTCTAATCCTTTCTTGGGATTTAATTCTCCCCTAATTGCCCTAATTTCGTATCACGAGCAAATGCAATTCTTTCTCATGTATTTTACCGTATCTTTGTCATTTCCTGCCTATAAAGTGTTTTTCCAATAGTCGGGGAAGAAGGAGCTAAGAAACCGAGTTAGAGCAGAAAACCACAGTTTTCAAGGGGAACCCACAATCTGAATAAGTTGGAGGACACACTCGTGTCATAAAGCTCCTTTTCAGTAACTAATTATTTCATGTTTTAGTAATTCCATGCAAATTAAAGATCACTAACCCCATGTTCCTTTGGGGGAAAAAAGTTTACTTATACTTCATTTACAAGAAACTCGACCCCTAAAATATCTAACGTACCTTTTCTCATTCTTCCTACTTGGTCTGTCTCATTTTATATGATATACTTTAACTGGATACAAAGTTAGAAAAAAAAGACTTTTTAAATTTGTGGTCTAAATTAGCCAAAAAATATTTATGTGGTTATAAATCAAATCATCTCGTTAAGAATAAAATAAGATATTTAAAGTTAAGTTGTTTTAAATATTGAAAGATATGAAAAGTGCATCGTATAAATTGAGATAGAGAAGTATGCTTTTCATCTATTTTGGGCAAAAATGAAAAACTACCCATCCAAGGCATGGCTATTTGTGTATAGTTTCACACACTTTTTTACTTAACTAAAGCTGGTAATCGAATCTTTGACTCAAGTCTGAGGTACATTTGCTGATAACTCCGAATCCGTTAATTATATACTGATCTGCATGCAGCATTGCAGCTAGCTAGTGTGTTTAATTCGTTTTGCTTTGTTTCAATAAGGACGCGTAACAGCTCATCTTCTCTTATAAATTACTGACAAATTGTATTAAAGGCGAAAAAAAAAGTTTGACTTGTTCAAAGTTTAGCACGCAGTAATACAACTGCGTATCTGTGCCTACAAAATCCCACCACCTTTGCTTTGGAGGGTGTCTGGATTGCATATTAAAAAAGTAGTTTTTAAGCTAAAAGCGAGGTAATACCTAATTTTTGGCTTTTGATTAATTTTGTATTTTTTATGCCTAAAAGTAAGTGCTTTTAAGCATTTTTTATTATCGCTAAACACTAACTAACTAAAAAGATGTTTAAAAACTAATAAACACTTAAAATAAGTCAATCAAAACACCCTAGTTCTCAAATATCTATTGGTGTCTTTTCGCATTTAGTGTGTGTACATAATTGAAAAATATATATAGCCTTTGGCCAAGTTTTTCAAATCCTAAAAGCAATTTTCTTTTTTAAAGTTGAAGTGTTTGGTCAAGCTTTTAGAAGAAAAAAAAAATAATTTTGAAGAGAAGCAGGGAAAAATAGCTTCTCCCTAAAAGCACTTTTGAGAAAATACACTTAGAATCAGTGTTTAAAAGTTTGACCAAACACTAATTGCTGCTCAGAAGTGTTTTTCAAATTAATTAGTCAAACACAAAATAGTACTCTTGGTTTTTGCAAGTATAGTTAAAATATGGGTGTTTAACAGGTGGGCCGGGCCGGGTTGGAAAAAAAGATGACCGGCCGGTTTCCAATCCGGCCCGGTTACGGGTTATTCAAAATCGGGCTTAACGGATCCGGGTTCATTCGGGTAAAAAATGAACCGGAAGGGTTACGGGTCCAAGGGGCGGGGTTAGTGTTATTTTTTTTTTTGTATGTTGTATAACTATCGTAATTTATATTAATATAAAGTAAAAATATAAAACAAAAAACAATCTTATAAAAAGAGTGTTTGAATAAAAGGATGCAAAGGCTTTAAAATCTTTATATTTGAAATTTTGAATATTTCATTAAGAATTTAAGATAATAGAATACAATGAAGATGGAAAAAAATTGTACTTATAATTTGCAAGTTCTTTTTTTTATTTCAAACTTACAAATTAAAGTTTACATTTAACAACAACTAAATTAACAAAAAAAGAGTAAAACTAAATTTTCATTGCATAATAATACTTCAAATTAATTTAACAAACTAAAACATTAAGCATAAATACGTCTAATAATTTTAAATTAACATAAATTGTCTAAAATCAACTTAAATACGAATTTCTGGAGGACGCTCAAGACAACTCTTCATATGCCTCCTTAAACAGCCTGTGCCCACCCACTTTAGACAAAGATTTAAGACTAGACCACAGTTCTTGCACTTTACTTTGTGAACTTCTTCATTTGCTTCTATCACCTCAAAGTATTCCCAAACATATGAGCGCACTCTAGAAGTACGGGGCATGATTTAACTTGAATTGAGAATTTGAGTTTGAGAAACGAGAGATGAGTGAAGAAATGAAGGGGGGAGGTGGATTTATAGTTTTTCAAAGGGCTAAATTAGTAATTACTAAAAGTGTTATTTTTTAAAAAATATTGCCCAAAAAGGACTATTCTTGCAATTAACCCACTGGGCAACGGTCATATGACATTTAAAAAAAATTCAGATTTCTAGCCGTTAAACCGGTCCGGGTCGGTCCGATTAACCGATTCAACAGTAATTTTTATTGATCGGGTTTGACCGGTCCGATTAACCGGATCTTTTTTGGTGAATGGACCAACCCCCTAACCCCCCTAACCCAGCCCACCCCGCCCCTAACTACCGATCTGGGCCGGTCCGGAAACGGGTCAACCCGACCCATTTGACTGGCTTAAGTTAAAGAGAAATTTTCATAAAGCACTATCTTTTAGTAGTAATTAGCCAACTATAGATACCATTTGTTATATTACGGAATATAGATACCTTTTTGTGGTTATAAGATGTATTTGATGTATTTAAGCTATTGAATTCATGAATACAGTAGCAAGAATAGGCGTGAATCAGGGAAATACAGCTAATCAGTTGTTGTATTCGAGTGTATTCGACTGTATTCATGGAGTGAAACATGAGATTACAGCTGGACAAATTATTGTATTCGACTATATTCACTGTGTGAAATAGGGGATTACACTATTTTTAAAACGAAAGTGAATCAATTACCATAATAGACTCCTAATATAACTCAACAAACTCAATTATAACACACAAATTTTGTATTTTTAAGTTATGAAAAAGATTCTAAACCGCAAAATACAAAGAAATAGATAGAATACAGAGGGATACATGGAAATACAATGAGAAAAAAAGACACTGAATACAATGAAATACAACGAGATACATTAAATTATAATGAAAAAAAAGATAGAGAATACAATGAAATACATAGAAATACAGCGAGATACATTGAGATGCTCTTCAAAAAAAGGTAACAAAATCTTCAAATTGCTCAACCGCAAACTTCAGACGACCTATTTTAGTCGACAATTTTCCGACGACCCATCGGATTCCGACCATAATTTCATAAGCAGTGATGAGAGAAAATTCCAAATTAATAAGGCCTACAGTCCACATGAACTCGGCATAGTCGTATATAGGTGCCTCTGTCTCCGCCGCTTGAGAATTGTTTGCGTAGCCTTGCAAAGTCGCAGAAAATAGTTTTAGGGCCTTTTTGGCGATACCTAAGAACTAAAGCTGAAGGCAAATAAAAAATCGAGAGAAGGAAGAACTGAAGCTAAAAGAATTGACAAATTGAGAGAAGGAAGATGCCTCCTCTGTCGTTGGACAAAATCGGCAAAGTATTGCCCTTCTCCAGGCTGTGTTCCTGCTTTAGAGTCCTTGTCGCTAGATCGGAAATTTTAATGGGATTGGGAAAGAGAATGAGATGTATCAAAGTAGAGAGAGAAAGAAAATAGTGTAATTTATTAGGGTATTTAATGACTTAGGGCTAGGAAGTAACCAAAATTAAATATTTTGCTATAAAACTTACAAGGTATCTATAAAATATAATTTTTTTAAATGGTAATAAATAAGGTGTTAACCTTTGCTATAGGAGGTAAAAATTCGTAAGTTAAAACCTCCACGATGGAAGAGGATTATATAGTTGTCAGCAAACAGAGAGATTCTAATTATAATGAATTCTCTAATTAAATTCTTTAGATGTATATATTAGCCTGCATATAGAAGGGAATTAATGTAGAGTATTCATACAAATGACCTCTCATAATTCGGGATTGTGACATAGTTGATTAATTGTCAGATCAATCAAATCTTCAAATTAAACTAGCTAATGCTAGTACTTGTACACAACACAAGACTAATAAACAAAAATCTGAATATAAATATTGATTTTCCTTTAAACTTTGTTCCAATCAATTCATAGCCGATTATATATACCACTTTGATGATTTAATCAAGCTAGCATCCTTTTTATAACTCATTTAATTATGTCAAAGGTACGTAAATAACGATTAAAACCAAGACAAATCGAACTTGAAATCTGCCTTTGGCATGCATGTCAGAGACAAACTACAAAAGACTGTCTAATTGAGATTACCGCACGACAGTCAAATATGTTTAATTTTTTCCACTTTTTTTGGTACGATTAATCCTTGGGATGAACATGCATTTAATTCAAGCAACCTTAATTTGTGAAGGTATACTGCAAGAAGTCAGTACTGCAAAATTAAAAAATGTCATTTCAGAGGACAAAAATAAGATTCTTAAAATTTATGAATAGAGATTTCCGAAGTACTGTAAGATATTAGGGTTCATATTAGAATAAGACAGGTGTCGGGACCTCAGCTTTGACTCAACTTTGATTTTTGAACTCTATAAAAACCAATACTCCCTCAGTTATGTTAACCTTTTTTTTTTTCGGTGCATGCCAACAAGAATGACCCCTTTTCTTATTTAGAAACAATTTATCTTTACACAATAATTTATTGCCACACAAAATATATGTGTCTCATTTTACACCACAAGATCAAAAGTCTTGTCTCTTTTCTTAAACTCCATGCCCAGTCAAATGGGTTCACATAAATTGAAACGGAGGGAGTATTATATATGCTTCTCCTCTCTCTCTCTATATATACACTACTATATATTTACTGCCTCTCTTTTTTCATGAGGAAATACAAATGTTTTATGCTTTTAACAAAAGAAGAACTTTCTCCTCCGGAATGGCTTCAGTTTTTAGTTTCATTGTGTTGGTAATACTCCACGTTATGATCGTTGCTTTGTTATTTCTACGACAGTCCTCTTCAGGACATGCTCAGTTACGTAAGTACACTATATATGTTCTCTATACTGCCTAATATTTTGACATTTTTACAGTATTTACTACTAACTGGCCA